TGCATAGAGCAGTGCACATGATCGCAACTAACATGCATTGCTCATTCCAAACAAACAGTGAGAGGCATATAAGAGCTTTGAGAGCTCGAGGAGGATGTTACAGGGAGGCAGACAAACACTGAACCACAGTAAGAAACAATTTCAGAAAAAACAGATTACAGGGCCATTAAGTAGTTGATGTGTATGGATTATTTTGGAGACTAAGTGCTCAATCACATAATTATGCAGATTGGATGCGGTTTGAACTGCATCTAATCTGCATGACATGTAAAACAACAAGGCTTCCTATGGTGCCAGTTCACATATGTCCAGTGCACTGCCAGTGCAGATTCAGTGTGGTTTAAAAAAAAAAGAGTAATATATGATTTCTGAGCATTGTGGTCCAGTCCAGAATTTAAAATAATTAGAGTTTCATCATCCACATACAGAAAGAGAAGGGATAATGTAAATTAAGCAGTGTGTGGTTAGTATAATTTTAAGTCTTTAGAACAACTTTAAATAATGTCATTAGACATATGCATTTCGAATCGAAATTCAGACGAATTTTCCATTATTTGGAGATTCGGATGTATCCAAATTCCGAATTAGAATAGTAATAAATTTAAATTAATCTGAAACAACTAAACTAAATTCTGCCAACATTTGAATCGATTCAAATTCGAAAACACATTCGAAAATAAATTTGAAAACAAATGCAAAAAAAAAACCAATTTGTATTAGAAAACAAGAATAGAATAAAATAGAACAGAAAATAAAGAAACAGAACAAAATAGAATAGAAAATAAAAGAATAGAATAGAAAAGAATAGAGGAAAAAAGAACAGTTAGAAAACAAAAGAGTAAAACAGAACAAAATAGAATAGTAAAAGAACAGAAAATAATAGAATCCATTAGAATAGAATAGAAAATATTAGAATAGAAAATCAAAGAATAGAATAGAAAAGAATAGAAAAGATTAGAATAGACAATAAAGGAATACAAAATAATAGAATCAATTAGGATATAATAGAAAAGATTAAAATAGAGAATCAAAGAATAGTATAGAAAAGAAGAGAAAAGATTAGAACAGAAAATAAAGGAATAGAAAAGAATTGAATCAATTAGAATAGAATAGAAAATATTTCAATAGAAAATCAAAGAATAGAATAGAAAATACTAGAATAAAACAGAGCAAAATAGAACAGAAAATAAAGGAACAGAATAGAATTAGAATAGAATAGAAAAGATTAGAATAGAAAATCAAAGAATAGAATAGGAAAGATTAGAATAGAGAATCAAGGAATAGAATAGAATAGAAAAACTATACAATAAAATAGAAGGAATATACAAGCCTTCTGAAATTAGAATTTTGAACAGAATGAATTTGAACAGAATACATTAGAATATAATAGAAAATAATAGAATAGATTAGAAAAGACAAATACTTTCCAAAAAATTATGAACTGCGCTATGGTGATGTGACTAGTGATCAACAAAGGAACTGTGGAAATTTTGCTGAAATATTCAATATGGTCAGGCAACTCTTCATATAGCCCATATGGATTGTGGATTATGGATTGTAACATTACAATTATTATTGAATCTGTTAGAATTGTTTTCGAATCGATTTGAATTATTTTCGAATCTGTTCGAAATTTCGAATTTTTCATTTTGCACGTGCCTAAATGTCTTTAGCATGTTGATGAGGATGGAAAGGAGGAACTGGGGAAGGTAAAATATAGGCAGAATAAGCTTCAATTTTAGAAATAAAGAAAATATCTGCCTTGTGAATATGGAGGACAACTTCATATTTCTGAGCAGTGTCATATTTCTGAGCAGTGTGGTCCAGTTGAGAATTTAAAATAATTGCAGTGCCATCATCTATATACAGAAAGAGAAGGGATAATGTAAATTAAAGCGGAGCTCCACCCGAAAGGGGAAGTTCCGCTTTAAGCCTTTGTCCCCCACTCCCCATTAAGGATTGGCACCTTTGGGGAGCGGGGGGAAGCGGGTACCCGAGTTTGACAGGTACCCGCTCCCACTTTTGCTGTGATCGCCGAGTCGATCGGAAGCAAAAGTTGTCCTCCCCGTAGTCTTGTGGGACACGTGACAGGTCTCAGAAGACTATGGGGCCATTCACAAAGCGCAGTGCTTCTCGTGCATGCGCAGTGGGCACACGGCTGTGAAGTCGCAAGCTGTCACAGCTGGGTGCCCACACTGAAGATGCCGGCGTCAGGGAGAGAAGATGGCCGGTGAAACCAGCGGTGGTGAGGACACTGCTGGACCGAGGGACAGGTAAGTGACTGTATTTTAAAAGTCAGCAGCTACAGTTTTTGTAGCTGCTGACTTTATATTTTTTTCAGGTGGAACTCAGCTTTATACAGTGTGTTCAGGTGCAAATTACAGGCCATTGACCTCTAGGGGAACCGTTTCTAAACCTGACATGTGTGAACAGGATAAAATCCTGAGCTGATCCTATCCTGAACCTGATGTAAGCCTGATCTGAATCCGTGAAGAACTATTGTATCAATTAGCTGTGAAACCTGATCTTCAATCAGTACCACACATAGACCTGATTCACACATGTGCGGTACAGATTGAATCTCAGGTTTCACAGCTAATTGATACAGTACTTGACCAGTTCAGGTCAGGTTTACATTATTTATTTATTTCAGGTACTTTTATAGCGCCATCAATTTACGCAGCGCTTTACACATATATATTGTACACATTCACATCAGTCCCTAACTCACATACATTCATACATACATATACTAGGGCCAAGTTAGACAGGATCCAATTAACCTACAAGCAGGTCTATGGATCAGGTTCAGGACAGGTTTACATCAGAGTCAGGTAAGGATTTTATCCTGTAAAGAATTGATGACATATACAGTTATGGCCTGGTTCACACCTAAGTGTTTTTTAGTGCTTTTTGCGTTTTGCAGAAACTACTACTGTCCATTTAACATCTACAGTTGTGCTCAAAAGTTGACATACCCTGGCAGAAATTGTGAAATGTTGGCATTGATATTGAAAATATGACTGATCATGCCAAAAAATGCTCTTTTATTGAAGGATGATGATCATATGAAGCCATTTATTATCAAATAGATTTTTGGCTCCTTTTAAATCATAATAACAGAAATCACGTAAATGGCCATGATCAAAAGTTTACATACCCTGGAATGTTTGGCCTTGGTACAGACACACAAGGTGACACATATGGGTTAAAATGCCAATTAGAGGTTAATGTCTCACATCTGTGGCTTTTTAAATTGCAATTAGTGTCAATGTATAAATAGTCAATGAGTTTGTTACCGCTTATGTGGAAGCATTGGATGGGCTAGATACTGAGCCATGGGGATCAGAAAAGAACTGTTGAAAGTCCTGTGTAACAAGGTAATGGAACTTTATAAAGATGGAAAAGGACATATAAAGATGTCCAAAGCCTTGAATATGCCAATCAGTACTGTTAAATCACCTATTAAGAAGTAGAAAGTTTGGAGATCTCTTGATACCAAGCCAAGGTCAGGTATACCAAAAAAGATTGCAGCCACAACTGCCAGAAGAATCGTTTGAGATACAAAGGGAAACCCATAGGTAACCACAAGAAAAGTACAGGCTGCTCTGGAAAAAGACAGTGTGGTTGGTTTGAAGGAGCACAATATGACACTTGAACAAAAATGAACTGCATGGTCGAGGTGCCAGAAAGAAGCCTTTACTGCATCAATGACACAAGAAGGCCCGGTAGGCATGTCAAGGTGTTGTCAGGCATATTGTAACCGGGCTTTTTTGTGGCATTGGTGCAGTAAAAGCTTCTTTCTGGCACTTCGGGCAAACAACTCATTTTTGTTCAAGTATCACCGTATTGTACTCCTTAAAAACAACCACACCAACTTTTTCCAGAGCAGTCTGTATTTCTTTTGAGGTTGCCTGTGGGGTTTTCTTTGAATCCCAGACAATTATTCTGTCAGTTATGGCTGCAATCTTTCTTGGTCTACCTGACCCTGGCTTGGTATCAAGAGATCCCCAAACTTTCCACTTCTTAATAGGCAATTTAACAGTACTGATTGGCATATTCAAGGCTTTGGACATCTTTATATGTCCTTTTCCATCTTTATAAAGTTCCATTACCTTGTTACACAGGACTTTGACAGTTCTTTTCTGATCCCCATGGTTCAGCGCTTCCACGTAAGAGCTAACAAACTCATTGACTATTTGTACACTGACACTAATTGCAATTTAAAAAGCCACAGATGTGGGACATTAACCTCTAATTGGCATTTTAACCCGTGTGTGTCACCTTGTGTGTCTGTACCAAGGCCGAACAACTATTTGATAATAAATGGCTTCATATGATCATCGTCCTTCAATAAAAGAGCATTTTTTGGAATGATCAATCATATTTTCAATATCAATGCCAAAATTTTACAATTTCTGACAGGGTATGCAAACTTTTGAGCACAACTGTTTGTTTTCAGCTTCTGCGTTCTTGGATAGGGTCAGGGTAATTTGTCTTCCGCAGCAGATTGCAACACACATAGATGTGAACCAGGCCTTAGAAACGGTTCCCAAAAAGTCAATAATCTGTAATCTGCATCTAAACCAGACCACACTGCTCAGAAATCATACAGGACTCTTTTTCAATCCGCAATGCCAGTGAACCGGACATATGTGAACAGGCATCACAGGAAGCAATGTTGTTTGAATTGCATCCAATCCGCATATATGTGAACCGACACTAAGGATATTGTTAAGTCTCTTTAAAGTGTTATTAAACCCAGGAGTCTGCATTCACTATATCTGGTCTCCCACAGTAACCCTGCATTCACTATATCTGGTCTCCCAGAGTACACAGAACATGGAAATGCAATTAATTTAGTAAATATAAACTGCTAAATACCTATTCTCATCAGCAGTTAGAGCAGTCTTGGGACTGATGATTGTCCAGCAGAGTACTGATTACAGCTTGTAGGAGGAGTTTTCATTCTGCCCTGATTGTCCTATGGGGCTGCAGGACCCCTGACCCTCTGTCTGGACAGTGCTGATTGGCTCTGTCCTGATCACATGCACTCTCCCAAGAAAAAAAAAACCCTCTCTAGCCACACACGCCAAACTGGGCATGTGCAGCTTGCCCCCAAAGTTCTGTTATCAGCAGATGGATTTGGGACTGTGGAGCATTTTGTAGCTCGAAGCTCATCAAAAATCAATATTACTCTGTGGAGATGGTTCACATCTCCACTCCAAGTCACCTGAAACAGAATGCCTGAAGGTCAAAAAAACATTTTGGAGCTACTTTTGTAGCTCCATTCGGGTAGATTGATGAGTGTTTGGCATGTTTTCATTTCCATAGAAATTCATGGAAACGTGCAAATCATGCACTTTCATGCGCTTTAGTGCATTTTGTCATGCGTTTTTCTGGCATGGAAAAACTTGGCAACAAATGATGTCACCAATCTAATTTTTCTCTATTGGGGAATATAAAAATGCCAAAACTCAAAAAGCCTGAAACAAATGTTCGCAACCATGAATAAAAAAAATGTACAAAAACGCTACATTCAGGTGTGAATGTGGTCTCAGAGAAGACAGGATCAAACATCCTTTTTGCACAATGAGTAGAATTAACCCCTTAGGTTCCACAGTGAGTATAACAAGCATGCTTTACTGCATATACAGACTGGTTTTACTGTTGTGGGTTTAGTAACACTTTAACACTTTAAGGTTCAAATGTTTTTTGTATTTTTTTTTTTTTTTTTTTTTAATGGGAAGGATTTTGCTCATAAAATGAAATTAAGTTTATGTGTGGCCAGTTTAAACACCTTAGCCAAGTTCTTCACCTCTTCCATAAGATAGACACAGCTCCCATTAGATTGTACAGGAGATGAAAAGAGAAAAGGGAAAAGGGAAATCTGGAATCACTGACTCCTCTCTGTGTATTTACTAGTTAGGAAGTCAACGTTAAGTCTTTCACAGGAACTGCAATCAGATGAAATGACGCAAGCTCATAAAACGGGAGAAATCCACAAAACATCTGGCAGAGTTTTACCAACTTGGTGTAACTGTGAATGGCCTCCCCCATCCCACCTCCTGGCCTCCTCCGCTTGTTGTTTGTGGCACAAAGAGGATTAGACCAAATAGAGACTAGCTATTACTCCATGGCATTATTCACAATTAAACCAGGGTTTACATCTAAAACAATCATGAAGATTGAGGATACAATAGCCAGAGAGATTTCCCGAGCAGGGTTCCATTTTACATAATTATATCTCTGCAAGAGCAAGACACTAATTAACTCCTTAGCGTGCAGCTGCCACGGGACTCAACTAACAACCGTAGTATGTATTGCTGTGCTCTACCATCTGGTTTGATTAAAAGGACATATATTTGTTATATTGGATGGAATATAACATACACACTTAAAAAAGGATTAATGTGTATGTTACCCTAAATATTTACAATATACCCTTAATATTCACATTTACGTCACTGGATAAATCACAGTCCTTATAATTTTCATGTACTTCTTCCATTCGAAGTACCTGGTCAATCCTGCCAGTCACCTTTCTTACTTGTTCTAAGCCTGTAGTCGTCAAACTACATCCCTTTGCTTTCCTTTATCCAGCCCTTGGGGCCCTATTCCTCCCTCTGATATCAACAATGGGGCATTATTCCTTTCACTTCACCAACGATGGGGCATTAGTCCTCCCTCTTCACCAACGCTGGGGCATTAGTCCTCCCACTTCACCAACGCTGGGGCATTAGTCCTCCCACTTCACCAACGCTGGGGCATTAGTCCTCCCACTTCACCAACGCTGGGGCATTAGTCCTCCCACTTCACCAACGCTGGGGCATTAGTCCTCCCACTTCACCAACGCTGGGGCATTAGTCCTCCCACTTCACCAACGCTGGGGCATTAGTCCTCCCACTTCACCAACGCTGGGGCATTAGTCCTCCCACTTCACCAACGATCATTAGTCCTCCCACTTCACCAACGATGGGGCATTAGTCCTCCCACTTCACCAACGATGGGGCATTAGTCCTCCCACTCACCAACGATGGGGCATTAGTCCTCCCACTTCACCAACGATGGGGCATTAGTCCTCCCACTTCACCAACGATGGGGCATTAGTCCTCCCACTTCACCAACCATGGGGCATTAGTCCTCCACTTCACCAACGATGGGGCATTAGTCCTCCCACTTCACCAACGATGGGGCATTAGTCCTCCCATTTCACCAACCATGGGGCATTAGTCCTCCCACTTCACCAACCATGGGGCATTAGTCCTTCCTCTTCACCAACGACGTGGCACTATTCCTTCCACTTCACCAACGACAGGGCACTATTCCTTCCACTTCACCAACGACGGGGCATTAGTCCTCCCACTTCACCAACGACGGGGCATTAGTCCTCCCACTTCACCAACGATGGGGCATTAGTCCTCCCACTTCACCAACGATGGGGCATTAGTCCTCCCACTTCACCAACGATGGGGCATTAGTCCTCCCACTTCACCAACGATGGGGCATTAGTCCTCCCACTTCACCAACCATGGGGCATTAGTCCTCCCACTTCACCAACCATGGGGCATTAGTCCTCCCACTTCACCAACCATGGGGCATTAGTCCTCCCACTTCACCAACGATGGGGCATTAGTCCTCCCACTTCACCAACGATGGGGCATTAGTCCTCCCATTTCACCAACCATGGGCATTAGTCCCCCCACTTCACCAACCATGGGGCATTAGTCCTTCCTCTTCACCAACGACGACGTGGCACTATTCCTTCCACTTCACCAACGACAGGGCACTATTCCTTCCACTTCACCAACGACAGGGCACTATTCCTTCCACTTCACCGACAGGGCACTATTCCTTCCACTTCACCAACGATGGGGCACTATTTCTTCCCACTTCACGAATGATGGGGCACTATTCCTTCCACTTCACCAATGATAGGGTACTATTCCTTCCAATTATTATTATTATACAGTATTTATATAGTGCTAAAAGGTTTGCTCAGCGCTGTACATTATAGTGGGGGACAGTACATGAGACAATACAGTAAGAAAACAGAACACGAGAGATTGAAGAGCCCTGCTCTTTCGAGCTTACAATCTAGGAGGGAGGGGATAGTGGTACAGGAGGAAGTGGCTGTGGGGGATGGAGTGGTGGGAGGAGTGGAGGAGATCAGCTGTTAGGTGAGGGTGGGGTAGGCTTCCCTGAAGAGATGGGTTTTCAGGGTGCGCCTAAAAGGTGAGGAGGGTAGGTGACAGTCTGATGGATTCGGGTAGTAAGTTCCAGAGGATGGGGGAAGTCCTGGAGAAGTCCTGCAGTCAGGCGTGGGAGGTGGAGACCAGGGAGCCAGAAAGTAGGTGGTCTTGTGAGGAGCGAAGATTACGGGTAGGGTGGTAATTGGGTATCAGGTCAGTGAGGTAGTTTGGGGCAGCATTATGAATGGCTTTGTATGTCTGTGTTAGTCGTTTGAATTTAATGCATTGGGCAATGGGGAGCCAGTGGAGGGAATGACAGAGGAGGGGTGGCAGAAGTGGAGCAGATGGTAAGGTGGATGAGTCTGGCCGCTGAGTTCAGGATAGACTGAAGCGGAGATAGTCTGCGATGAGGTAGGCCGGTGTGAAGGAAGTTGCAGTAGTCCAGACGTGAGATAATAAGGGAGTGAACGAGTAGTTTAGTGAATGGTTCACCAATGATAGGGTACTATTCCTTCCAATTCACCAACGATGGGACACTATTCTTTCCACTTCAACAATGGGGCACTATTCCTTCCACCTCACCAATGATGGGGCACTATTCCTTCTACTGAAATCAACAAGTGGACACTATTCCTCCCACTAATACCAATGATGGGGCACTACTCCTCTTCCTGCTCACAACAGGCACTATGGACTCCCACTGATCACCAAGCCTGACATATTGTCTACTCCCACTTATGCTGGGGCATTTTCTACTCCCACTGGCCACAGTCCAGTCCTCCTAAAGCTTAAAGGACAGTAAACTGGCCCTTTGTTTAGAAAGTTTGGAGATCCCTGGCCTAGGCAAACCCAGCAGACGTTTGCTTTCCTCCCTCCTGCCAGCAGCCTTCTAGGAGACATCATAGGTCCCAGAAAGCTGCAGGCCCTTGCACAAAGTGAAGTGCAGCTCATGCATGTGCAGTAGAAAGTCGGCTGAAACTGCTAGGAGTCACAGCCAGCTTCCATTAGTAAACATACTGGGAACCCGAAGAATGGTAAAGAACCAGTTTGGGTGAGGAAAGTACAGGTAAGTGTCCTTTAACTGTAGTATTTGTAGTTGCTAACTTTTATTTTTTAAGACACCGAAGAACCTCTTAAAATAAAAGGTGACCATTGTAAGCACCCCTGTCAGTGATAAATGGCTTGTCTCAACACTCTCACTGCCAGTTTTGCTGGATAACTTGTTCTGTTAAGGGAAATTGAAAAATAACAGAATTACTGGCTATATCACTAGGTGAAAATTGTAAGCAGAATTAAACTGTATCTGTTATTTTATTCATTTTTAATATTCAAAGAAAACTGACCCATCCATCCATGTCTCCATGCTTTATTTTGTTGAGAAACCACATTAAAAAACAGCCCCCTAGAATTTCTATCCACGGCCATCTTGAGTATAGGGCAAATGATTCTTGTAGCAATTACTTCCTGGAATCCATCTGCCATTAGCTCAGGCATGCAGGCAGGAGGGTGTACTTAGCTGAGAAAGCCTATCCTTCCCTCCTCCAGATGAAAGAAGAAAAAAAAATAGCATGAAAACTCCTGGGATGTATGACAACAGTTTGGCCTAGGCCAGAAACCAAAAAGCAACTAAAGAAATGAAAAAAAAGTTTAAACACAAGTAAATCTAATATACCTTCCTATCCATTTACTAATAATAGCAGCAGGATTAAAAATAGTTTAACGTTGGTTAAGAGAGTTTAGTTATGCTTTAAATGGAGGAATACTAGCACCCCTATCAGCTTTTATTCTTTTCTGTTTTGTGGTTTTATATTTTTCTTCACTTCCTGTCTAGTTAAAGGTAACTTTACTCATAACAACTTGCTAAAAAATAATGTTCTTCAGCAAAGAACATACATTCCACCTGAATAATTATGCTACCAAAATGAGTGTGTACTGTAAATTGCCTCCAGCAATACTCTGGTTTCTTCTTGCTGGAGGCCGCCATTTTGTTGAAGCCCCGAGCCCCTGAACGGCAGTAAATCATAAAGCAGTACTAAACCCATCAATTTAACGGTTTAAAAAACAGTTACATTCCTGGAATGCCAGGATTGCTAACTGTCACATTGCTTTTATCCTCAGCCAAACTGTAAAAACCATCAAATGACTGGTGTCATAACTGATCATTTGTGCAGCACCATGGCAGTTGCAGATCAAACAAAGGATAGGAGGGTTTAATTCCACTTGAAGGCTGTCAGCAGATCGTCCTCTACAAATTCGACAGTTTGTCTCAGTGCCAAAAATAGAGAGCAACTGAGCATGTGCAGAGCAGGGTGAGAGTGTATTACTGGATTTTAAACAGTATAAATACTTGTTTTTAATGTTTTACATAGCTATACCTGCAAAAGGGGCCAGCCTGAACTGATCAAGCAGGACTTCATTTTCTGACTAAAGTTCCACTTTAAACACTTGACGACCGCAATACGTACAGTTGTGTCCAAAATTATTCAACCCCCAATGCT